TTTGCGTCCTTGGACCCTTAGAGAACTACAGTAGCTATGATTGGGCTTATGACAACCCCATTTAAATTTCCTGTAACTGGGCTCATGTAGGCCACTGTCGAGCAACGGCAACAATATTTGTGTCAACACGCACACGTTGGGGATGCAGGGCCGCCCCATGTGGGTACGGCTATTCTGAACGTTCCGCCGGCATGGACTGTTGAAAGGAAACACCACTACTTTCAGGACTTGGATTCCTGCTTGGTGCACCGGGCTAGCACCACTGACGTTGAAGCAGCGCGTCGAGGAGCCATCGTGGTTACATCTTGGATCCCATCATACTACCTTGCCGTTCCCCCACTTTGCATATTATACAGTGAGCTACTGAAGCTACTGCTTGTTCATCCTAAGGTCCCAAGGGCCCACGAACCGAAATAGTGGGGCTCTACCTAGAACTTGGGCACTTGGATCCTGGGGAGACGAAGACCCCAAAACCTAAATGAATCCATCCTTGGTACTTCTCGCCGGTCAGGTTCTGCATACCGACCACGCCTGGCGCGTGCAGCACGCGTTGTGCGCAGGGCTCTTCCGGAGGTGGGGGAGGGGAGATTTTAAGCATTGCTGTTCCGAAACTTAAGTTACCCTAATATATGTAGATTCAAAGATAGTTCATAGGATGGCTCATAGTTCCCTTACAAAGTGGAAACCTCAATCAAGTTGGCTAACATCATCTCCATTGCACTTTCCTCCGTCTCATAACAAGCCACCCTGACCCCCGGTAATAAGTGGTCCAGGTATTTAGAGGGGACGGGCAGCTTTTGGTATCTTGGAATGGGTGCTATAACCCTCGGGCTCCAAATAGCCCAATATAGGTAACATTCATCAGCATTAGAGCCGCAGGTTAAGGAGAGCCAGAGTTCATGCCGATGCCGCAGTGGATATGTAAGACGTGGGCGGTTGCTGTGATGAATTATTCGGGTTCCCAAAACCCAAAACCCTAAGGTTGTTCCACTCCAGGTTTTAGACCCTACGATGTTGGGCTTAGGGCTTATAAGGCTCAAGATTTTGGGTTTGTGCAGTTGAGCACAGGCATGGCATGAAGAGCACCTTGGGTTCCCCAGGTCCCACGTTTTCTTGTCCAATTGCACGCGCCAGTTTAGTGTTGCCATGCCAGTGTGAGCTGTACATTACAGTAATTGTTGCTACATGACTTGTGTCCAAAATTCGGGAAATCAGAAAGTGCTAGAAAAGAGCCTCTGAATTGTCAGTTTGCTACTGCTTCAAAGTTGAGACAGCTGGTGCGACCTGTACGCTTAATGGCCCGACCATAGGCCCCTAATGTGCCCGGATCAGGCCTGTAGGCTTTCGTAAGGCATATAGGAGGCATATACGGGCTGCAAGATACTGGCCCTCGCCAGGGGCCCATAGTTCAAACCTTAGTTCACAGCTGGCGCAGGGAACTGGCTGATCCCTAGGCCCTAAACCCTAAACACCAGCGCCAAGACCCAAAGGCTTTTCTTAGCTCTATGGTAATATACTTGGGCCCTAAAGTAGTTCTATGGGAACCCTTTTTGGGCCTAAGTATATACTATATAGCTACATGTAGCCTTTGGGAGAGGTTAAACTCAACACCACTCGACCGGACCTGTGGGAGACTTGTCTGCTTCATGCGTGGCACATTCCGCTTTTTGGACGGTCCATGTGAACTACGGACTGAATTCAGGTTGGGTGGGACGTATAGGGGACTATATAGGGTTGTGGTGGGGAACTATTATGAGATATACTACAGAACCAGATAGGAGCCACGAACCCGAATGCAGACACGTGTCACGTACATGCAATGATAATGACACCCCAGGGGCGAAACCACTTAGGAGACGTAGGTCCGGGGTCATCCCTTTCTCCTCTTTCTCCTCCTCTCTCTTTTCTTCTCTCTCTTCT